TACAAGCTCTTGGTGCATAAAGAAGATCTGTAAAGTTGCAAAGACTAAAGTCTCAAATCCAAAGAGATATTCGTTATAAAAGTTAAGACTTGTCCACGCCCTCCTAAAACACCTCGTTTAAACACGCCCCCACATGTCTACGTCACTGTGTGGGAAGATTTGCATAACACCGCCCAAATGTTCACGCAAAGAAAGATGGCGTAACTTTTATTCTCGCTGTAGTATTGCTGTTGCTGCCGCCATGTTGTGGAGATGCTGTGTGTTTCGTTATGAAAGTGAAACTACTTTGTTTGGTCTTCCAAAAGAGGACGATATCCGCTTCGTCATGCCTGGAGCTGATCAGTGCTGGTCGCTGAGGAAATATATCAACTTCGCGCTATGGATCGCCGGATCGGATTTCACCGTGGACGAAGCAGAGTCCAGCCCGGGGTCGTCACATGTGGTTGCCGCAAGTCCACCGGCCGCTCCTTCGTCGAATCCGCCAGCCGCTGCTCACTCAAGCCCGCCGTGTGTGACGCTGTGTGACGCATTTTATGGAGGACTGTTTCCTGAACCTGCAGTTCTGCATAGCCTACAATGGGTCTGTGCACAAAGGCTGTTTCTATAAAGTGCGGCAGTTCCAACTTTGCAAGGACAGTCTGGCGCTTCTGACTCACAGACTGTAAGTACATTTTTTATATTGAAAAAATTTGCCACTGACGATTCAAACACGAGTTTTGAGCAATGTAGAGTAGCGCTTGTTTGTTGTTTCTCCGATCACAAATGCAGACATTGTTTTATGTTTACGCAGCACAATGCGCGATACGCGACGCAACGCGTAAAAACACAGTATAAGTCAGTAATCAGTAATTATGACCCCACTGGATGCAACAAATGCCTCGTTTGTAATGGGTTTTATTGGTTTTGTCTCGTCGCTCCGGGACACGGCATCACAGTATGGTGAGGGGCGTAACATTTCCGTCACACGCTTGAGGTATTCAGCCAATCACAACGCACTGGATAGCTGGCCAATCAGAGCACACCTTGCTTTTCAGACCGATGAGCTTTGTAAAAATCGACGCGTTTCAAAAAGGCGGGGTATAGAGGAGAAACAATAATGTACAGTATGTGGAAAATAATGTTTATTTTTATTTAAACCGCATAAACACATTTCATTACACCAACTACACAACATAATGTTCTTTTTAGCAACATCATATGACCCCTTTAAGATAGTTAGAGCTTGTAAAGAAACAAGCTCTTAAAAATGCCTAAAATGGAAAGTCATCCCTCATGTCATTCCATAGGAATTTAGAAGAACATTTCTTGTCCATAGAATAAAAATGATACTGATTTATATTATAAAGCTCTACAAAAAAAACACCATAAAATTACATTCTGAACCTCCTAAAGTCATAAAAATACACTATTTGATTCTGAAAATATAAACACTACTGTTCTCAAGTTTCAGGTTGTTAAGAATTTGTAATGTTTTTGAAATAAGTCTTCTGCTCACCAAGGCTGCATTTATTTGATCAAAAATACAGTAAAAAAAGGCAATAATGTGAAATATTATTACAGTCTAAAATAAGTTTTCTATTTGAATGTATTTTAAAAAGTAATTGATTTCTGTGATGCAAAGCTGAATGTTCAGCATCATTACTCCAGTCTTCAGTGTCACATGATCCTTCAGAAATCATTCTAATATGCTGCTTTGCTGCTCAAGAAACATTTCTCATTATCATCAATGTTGAGTTGTACTGACTAATGTTTTTGTGGAAATTATGATACGTGATCAGTTGAATGCATCCTTGCTGAATAATAATGAATTATTCCTTTAAGCTGCTGTGACCTGGTTTATCCAGCTGTTGACGGTTCCTGAATGCACCTCTGACCAAACCGCACCCGTCATTCATCTGACTCTGATAACAGATGTTGTAGCGGCTCCATCTATTTACAGTATTTCTATCTGTCGTCAGAGTTGCATTTAAATTAAATTACGTAGGCACAATTCTTTTAAAATGTATTCTATTATCTGAGTGAGACAGTACGGGAAAATCTTCATAAGACATGTGACTGAAGGACAACCTACAAGAAATCTGTTATCTGCAAGGTGTTCTGCTCTTCTTATCTAGTTATGGTTCACCTTTGCCCTGCCAGCGGTCGTTTAACTTACACTAAAGTTCACCTGAGACCAGATTGTGCTTGAAAGACGCACATCGTAAAGGTAAAGATTAGTCAATATGAAACAGCAAATATCTTGACGATTTGAAGCAACCTACAAAGAAAGTACTATGGTATACCGTGTTTTTAAAGCATGGTACAATACCACAGTATTCTTTGAAGCAAAATATAGTAACATTTAAATCCCATCATGGTATATGATTATTGTAATAATGCAATGTCATGGTATTTGCATGGTACTCCAGAGTAGCAGCATTAAAAAAACAAGGTATTACCTTGCCATGGTGTTCAAAATGCTAAAACTATGGTATTTTGAAATACACCACGGTACTAAAATGCATGTATTATGGCATTTACAAGGTATTTCAGGGTAACGTGTCCAAAATACCACGATTCTGTAGCACTCTTTTGTAAAGGTTGTTTGATTTTAGTCCAAGGACGCAATTATTAATCGCTGGAAAACAAACCGCTAGAATATGCAGAAGAGAGAAGAAATATTTGCAGTATGTGAACGACATAATTCTGCTGCAGATAATAGCGTTCAAATCCGCGAGAGGCTGAAGAGCGCGCGCCGCCCGCAGCGCCCTGATGCTGCTGCAGATCCGCACAGACATAACGTCCGTCTTTAACGGCCCTGGGGCGGACTCCGCGGGGCCGGTTATTCCCGCGGGGATCGAACCCGACTGACTAACGGACGGGGCGGTGCAGAAACGCGCAGACGGAACGCGTGCCGCTGTCTGATGCGAAACAGATGTTCGCGCGCGGAACGCGGCCGTTAGAATGAACGAAGCTGTCAAAGACGCGCTAATAACGGTTTGCCGGTTTGAACCGTCACGGTTGATTTTAGACGCCTTCTCGCGATGGGGAATCGTGTTTAGCCACATAACGGGAAAATGAACCACATTATATGAACCGCTGTACCGTTATTTCTGTTTATTCCGCTGACTGACATAATCTTTACCACGGTGACCGATCAGATCAGAAATAATTCTATTTTAACGGTTTCCTCACGCAAAACAAATGTCAATATTAATATGATACAAGTGCTCGGCAAAGAAATAAACGCTTAACCGCGTTACATACCGGATCCTGCAGTTTTGTCCCGTTACTCCGGGTTATTATGGCTTCGTGTGATGTTCTTCCTCCGGTGGCGGTGTGATGATAGTTAAAGCTGCCGGTGTTACTCGCGTTCGTGTGTGTTTGGAGGAAAAGGAGGGAGTAAAAGCACGACACGACAGGAGGAGAGGACGGGAGAAAGTCCGTTTCGGTCGCCGCCTGCTGGCGCGTGCTGTCGGTTACGGCGCCGTCAGATTTTTTTCTGCTTTTTAAGCAAAGGTAAACGAACCCAGAAAAAGCGTGCTGACGTCATCGGCGTAAAGAAAAAAAAGCGTGCTGACGTCATCGGCGTGACGCGACGGTGACCTTGAGTTAAAACACAAGGAAGGATGGAGCGCCCTTTGGATCGAGGAATATTCCCCACTTTTGGGGAAGAGAGCAGGAGAATGAACATCACTGATTTCATAATTTAATCATGTCATTTGGATTGTGCAGATGTTCATAATGACAAGAACATGTCCTGGTCATATTGCACTACAAAATGATTCTGATTTTAGATAAAGATCAGATCAAGCCTATTTTTGCATTGTATATGACAAATAAGCACCTTTTACTCCCAACTTCTATCTTACATATAGTAACAGCATTCTCATAACCATGAAAATTACATATGGGTGTGTGTGTGCGTGTATATATATTTGAATTTGAATTGTAAAACTATATGAGCTGTAAAACTTATGGAGAATGCAGTTTTATTTTTATTATTAAATTGCACGACATGTGTATCTCATGATGGTATCTATTTAATATACTGCTTTATTATTTTTTAATTTTTTTTAAAGTACAACTGTATTGTTATATAAGCCCATTTATTTCATATGTAATATTTATTTTAATAATTAAGTTATATTTAATTAATTATTATTATATAGCTATCTATCTGACTAACTATATATACACACACACACACACACACCAACATTTTGAAATATGACCCTTTTTGAGAGGCTGCTTGGGATTCACCATATACATAAAAAAAAACATTTTGATTGTTTCTTGGTTAAAACACTAAAAAACATGTAACATAATCATGGCTCATTTGGCTCAGTGTAAATGTGCAGCACTGTGGCTCACTACAAATAAAATACATCTGCTGGACACTGAGTTCGAGAGGCACAGGAGAGAGAGACAGGCGTCTAATGGAGACATCATTCAGACAGACAGCTGCTCTGAGACCCAGAGACTGTCCTGTGAGATGAGACTCTGTACTGTATGTCCATGTGTGTCACTGTGTTGGTCTGCAGTGCTGCTGGTGGGAGTTTATATGTCATGATGTTGGCAGCCGCTCTCAGCAGCACAATCATCCTAATGGTGTGAGTGTGTGTCAGCTGGACTGAGGGTCTGCAGAGCTCGCTGGTGTCTGCAGTCCGACCCTCTTTAGCGATTCTTCATACTTCCTCTTCCCCAGAGTCACTATGTCCTCTACTTCCTCCGCCAAGTCCCGCCTACCACTGTTCACCAGTGCTTTCATCAGCTGTTGCACCGCCCCTGGCCCCGCCCCCTGTTGCCCTCTCGCCCAATGAAAGAGCATCGCCAACACCTGGGCCCCAAAGTTGTCCCTGACAAAACAAACACAGGGAGATGCCAGTTTATTATTATTTTTTTTTTACTATTACTGTTACTAAACTGATCTGTCTTCCATTACTGTACATTTTTGTCATAATTAAAGTATACAGAGATATAATATAAATATATTATATAATTAAATCAATAATAGATAAATAACAAAAAAGAATAAATAATATATAATGAAATGTTGCAATAAATAAATACAAATAAAATTAAACATGAGTCTAAATATCACATTTTTGAATTGATTTCATAACACCTTTAACTCAATTGTATTGATGTAATCCAAACAACAACAAAAAACTGCATTCTCATCAGGGTCATTATCGTTAACTAAAACTAAAATCATAAAAAAGCATTTTCATTACTTTAAATAAAATAAACAATAACAGAAATGAAAATAAAATACAAATCTTAAACTAATTTTCAGATAGTTGCCAAGGAAACATTTCTAATTTTGATGTAGTAAAATAACAAACTAAAATGAAAATAAAAATTAATAAAATATATAGTATATACACATATATATATAAAATAAAAACAGAAACACAACAACATTTTTACAACTTTTAGCTAAAAGTAAATCAGTCCTGTAATAAAGACTGAATGTGCTGTTGGCCTCTCAGCAGACATTAACAGCACCATCTGCTGGCTCTGATCTGGTGCTCACCTGTGCTGGTTCCGGATGCGTTCCAGCTGGTCGTAGCTGATGCCCAGGTTGATGCCGATATTCTGCCACTCTTGGTTGATGCGTAAGGAGATGGACAGCAGGTTGGTCTGTGTCAGGTAGCCGCTCTCTGGGTCGCCCAGGTTCAGCTCGCCGGAGATGCTCCCATCACAGTCTGCGTTCTGTGTGTGTATATGATAAAACAATACTTATTCATCTGTCAGAGGTTTACATTATAGACTGAAATGCTACACAAAATGAAAAAAAAAAGTGATTTAAACTTGAGATATTTTTCATGGGCTGTGTTCCTAACACTAGTGAGCTGCTTCACTGTCTACTGTCTACATAGGCAGCATCCTAACCAAAAGGAAACCTAATAAGCAACTGATTTGAATTCAGTGCAGTTAATAGTCACTTATAGCAGACATTCCACACAATTTGCACACAAGAAACCTGACAATCGGTCAAGTATGATTCTAATACATTAGCGATCTGACATTAGCAGGCTGCTAATAAGCACTTTAATTTCTATGAATACTTGCATATACTGAATGGATACTTAAACAATATTTAAGTACATAATAATACAAATACGTGACCCTGGACCACAAAACCAGTTATAAGTGTCAATTTTTCGAAAATTGAGATTTATACATCATCTGAAAGCTGAATTAATAAGCTTGATGTATGGTTTGTTAGGATAGGACAATATTTGAAAATCTGGAATCTGAGGGTGCAAAAAAATCGAAATATTGAGAAAATCGCCTTTAAAGTTGTCTAAATGAAGTTCTTAGCCATGCATATTACTAATAAAAAATTAAGTTTTGATATATTTACAGTAGCAAATTTACAAAATATCTTCATGGAACATGATCTTTAATTAATGTCCTAATGATTTTTGGCATAAAAAAAAAATCCATAATTTTGACCCATACATTACAATGCAATGTATTTTTGGCTATTGCTACAAATATACCCCAGCGACTTAAGACTGCTTTTGTGGTCCAGGGTCACATATACTTTGTTATACTATTATAATATTTTAAAATACACATTTATATTATAATAATATTATACAAATATAATTTTATAATATAAAAACTAAATACTGAGACATACACATACGTGTGTTTCAGTATATATATATATATATATGTACAAAATACAACACATACAAGTAAAAAGGTGCACAGAACTGTAACTAAAGGGGAAATATTTAAATAAACAAATAACCTGACAAAGTTACCAAGTGACATTTTATCAGTCTAAATATGAAAATATTTTACCTCATCCTTTGCATCCCTGTCAGCTTTCTGTGAATAAAAAAATATACATTTATATATATATATATATATATATATATATACATATAAATACTGAAACACACACACACTCACACAGATTTATTGGATTTATAAAAATATACTCCCATAGCATTCCATTAGTCATATTAGAAAAAAACTAAATATTATGATATTATATATTATATATATAATATTATTATAATAAATATTATGTATAAATATAATAATTGTATTTTAAACTATATATTTTCGCTGAGCATTACATTTAGGATCAAGACTTAAGAGCGATATCTTATAATACACAACATATCAATGTGGTTGTGGTTTGGGACAGAGGCATAATTTTCTAGATCTTCGAGATCGCTCACAGCAATCCGTAGAGGAAGCGTCGCCATCCACTGGTTGTCATGACCTTTTCTTTTACTCGCCACTTCCTCTGGAAGATCATTGGGCACTTCACCCCTGTAAAATGACACCTAGAAGGACACGCATCTTATTACATTACATTTGACTTGAAATACTGGGCTGATCCAACAACTATGGCCCCTGAACGCCCCGTGTCCCGTGCCCGTCTCACCTGTCCTCTCACGGTGCCCTGCTGTGGGTGGGTCGGGCACACGTGCACCTCTTTAATGTTCTTCAGGTGAGAGTAAAAGGTGAATGAGAGTCTGCCATCTTTACAGTCCGGACGGTCTGAGGAAACACATTCCAATTACATTCCGCTAAACAAACTTGAGCTATTATTGTGACTTTATAGTAGGCTGTAGTCTTTTTTGTTTTATGTGTGTGTGTGTCCACCTGCGCTGATGTCAATGCCTCTCTCAAAACCAGCAAAAAACTGCTCTCCCTCCAGCAGGATGCACAACTCAGACGGCTGAGGCCCTTCATACTGCTCCGACAGAGATGCCAACCTGCTCTCAGCCTAAAGAGAGACCAGAAGTGTCTCATTTCGGCATTAAAGTCCTACATCAATATACAAAGCCTATACCTATGAATAAGTTCATAGGTTGACTTCCTGAAGATTGTGAACACCTGGCAGATGAATATTATATCAACTCCTGAGCATCGACCCACAACCTCTTAGCATAATAGCGGCACAGAAATTACACTTCAGCTTGACTACACACACATACACACACACACACTCACCTTGTCCGACGGCAGGCACTGCAGCAGAACCTGCTCTGGGTCGTTTTTTTTCTGTAGCGCCAGGAATCGAATCCGGAACTGTTTCAAGCGATGATACATCTTCCTGACGACACCACTAACACACCTATGAGTGGTGTACCACAACCAGTACCTGAACACACACACACACACATATATATATGACAGACTGTATGGGTTCACGCTTATGTGTGTGTTTATAGACACTCACCATGAGAAGTGTGTGATGGAGAAGACGGCATAGATGTGCGTGACGTAAAGCGACACCTGAGCGGTGATGTCAGTCCAGGTGTGGGCCGTGGGGTCGCCGTGCATCAGGTGCAAACGGGACATGTCCACCATGTGTCCTGAACACACACAGACACAGACCTAAAACATGCATCTGCAAACATGCAAACTCTAGTGTGAATATAATGTGAACTGAGACACTATTACAATTAAAAAGAGGTTTGAGTCCACTTTAGTCCAGCTACAAATTTAAAAATAAAAACTCTTACTAAAAAGTTTGAATATTTGATCTATTTACTTTCACTTCATGTGACCATTAACCAACATCAGAAAACATGCGAATGTGCCATTAAATTATTGAAAATGAACTTAAAATCTTTTAATAATAATTTAAATAAATATTTTACATCTAAGGGGTTCAGGTTTGGGAATCCCGGCATTACATAAAAATATCAAAGTATGTGGCATTTATTCTAAAAAAAAAAAAGTACAAGCACACTTTTCAGTCAGTTTTATGTGACAAGTTATCTAACAAGTTTAAGATCTGCTCGGTTTAACAATTAAACCATTTCCTAGAAAGAAGTGAAGAGTAAATGTGATGCAATACCAGTCACTCCAGCTGGAAGAGGAATCTGCACTGTGATTGGCTGAAGGAAATGTATGCTGGGAGTTTGAGAGAGGCATAGCAGTGGGCTGGCACTCGCATGAGGGTCTCCGGTCAGGTCCTGCACCTCAGACAGCACCACCTGCAGGACCTTAGGACAAAAAAATAAAATAAAATAATGTATATATTTATATATGGGTCAAAGACGAAAAAGGGGTTAAGTATAAAAACAAAAAGTGTAATACTGCTTTAAATTGTTGGTTTTTCCCCAAAAATATTTAAAAAGTTTTCTGTTGAATTTAATTGTATTTTTGTTTTTGTTTTTCTGAGTAAAAAATAAATATCATATATTTTCCCTGATTTACAGAAGACACCCACTAAAATGTCATTCAGTGTAACAATCTTGTCAGGCATATTTACAACAAAAATCAATTTATGACATATTAAAAGACTAATTACGTTCACCTCAAATACTAATTAGTTGTAATTGTACTTTTTTTTTAATGTGCCACTATCCTAGGTTTTACCCATTTGTCAGTAAGAACTTTTTACTAATTTAAAGCACAATAAAATGTAATATGCTCCCTTATTCTTTTATATATTTTAATATGTACAAGTCAGAATAAGCATGTTGTTTGAATTTTTACATAAATATTGTGTTACACTGAATGAGTCTAAGGTACAGTATGCGTGAGAGCATTTCAGACAATTTGACAGAAAAGTCTTTTGTCCCTTTAGACCAGGGACGTGCTGACTATGCAGACACTAAAAATGTTACATTTGTTGTTGTAGTTTTTTTGTCCATTCTATTGCCTTACAAATTGGTTTTCCTCTATGTATTCTACATTGTTGTTGCAAATCCTGCAGATTTGTCAGGAGGATAATGTTATTTAGCTGGCTAACATAAATGCGATTTTGTTGAAATTGCAAAAAATAAATTTTTTTTAAACAATCACTACTGTTCAAAAGTTTGAGGTTTTTGAGACTTAATGTTTTTGAAGGAAGTCTTGTATGTTCACCAAAGCTGCATTCGATCAAAAATACAGTAAAACGGTAATATTATGAAATACAATTGCAATTTAAAATAACTTTTTTCTTTTTTAATCTATTTTAAAATATAATTTATTCCTGTGATAACAAAGCTATTACTCCAGACTTCAGTGTCACATGATGCTTCAGAAATCATTCTAATATGCAGATTTTGTGCTCAAGAAACTTTTCTTCTTATAACAGTTGCACATGCTTAATATTTTTGTGTAAACCATGATACTTTTTCTTTTGAGGAGTAGTTCAAGTTCAAAGCTTGAACAGCATTTATTTGAAATTGAAGTATTTTGTAACATTATAAATTACTTTAACATTTTGTCAGTTTAATGCTTCATAGCTGAAAAAAAGTCTTACTGTTTTGAACTATACTGAACCAAAAGTTTTGAATGGTAGTGAATGTATTTTTAACAAAAACATTTTGCAAAATGTCTTCATAAATTTGTTTAAACAATATTTTTGTGAATAATAACTTTTTTTGTAAAGAAAAAAAACACTTAAAATAAAAAATCTAAATACTGAGAGTATATATAAAAGGGTCAAAGACGAAAAAGGGTTTGAGCATAAAAACAATAAGTGTAATACTGCTTTAAATTGTTGGTTTTTCCCCAAAAATATTTAAAAAGTTTTCTGTTGAATTTAATTGTATTTTTGTTTTTGTTTTTCTGAGTAAAAAATAAATATCATACATTTTCCCCTGATTTACAGAAGACACCCACTAAAATGTCATTCAGTGTAACAATCTTGTCAGGCATATTTACAACAAAAATCAATTTATGACATATTAAAAGACTAATTACGTTCACCTCAAATACTAATTAGTTGTAATTGTACTTTTTTTTTAATGTGCCACTATCCTAGGTTTTACCCATTTGTCAGTAAGAACTTTTTACTAATTTAAAGCATTTAAAACACAATAAAATGTAATATGCTCCCTTATTCTTTTATATATTTTAATATGTACAAGTCAGAATAAGCATGTTGTTTGAATTTTTACATAAATATTGTGTTACACTGAATGACAATGTAACATTATTTCAACATTTTATTCTCCAGAAACTTATTTGAAACCTTAAAAGTAGACACTTTACTTGAGTTAATGTGTTTTCTATGGACACTAGTGAACACAACTGAGAGACCATTTTGAAGGCTCAGGAAACCTTTGCAGGTGTTTTGAGTTGATTAGCTGATTGGCATGTCACCATATTCTAATTTGTTGAGATAGTGAATTGGTGGGTTTTTGTTAAATGTGAGCCAAAATCATCACAATTAAAAGAACCAAAGACTTAAACTACTTCAGTCTGTGTGCATTGAATTTATTTAATACACGAGTTTCACAATTTGAGTTGAACTTTTCCACAACATTCTAATTTATTGAGATGCATATATCTCAATAAATGCATATATATATATATATATATATATATATATAGGGTGCGATTTGTGAGCAAACCAGAGGGGGGGGTTGTTTTGAAAAAAACATTTCTGATATTCTGATTTGACCACTCTTTATGATAATACTTGGTTACAATGACACTAATACTTCTTATTTCTGCCAGGAATGCAAAATCAATCGTGAGTTAATTATATTTTGAATAGAGTGACACAAACATATTCAATCGAGTTTGCTTCCATTTATTTTTGATCAGTGCTTCACTTCACAACATACAAATTTTTACTCGAATGTGTGCACATGTATTCACACGTTTACCTCATATTTCTATAAATAGAATAGAACCATAATTCCTTAATGACTCGCAGAAGAATGATTCTCTGCCGATCCATCAGTCAGTATTGCGTGATCATAATTCCCACATTACGGTGACTGTAAACTTCTGCGTTCTATCTCATAATACATTTATGCGTCAGTTTATTATATAAAATATCTGCATTAGGTCACAGTAGAGTGAGTTTTGAGCAAAAACAGTGTATTAATCTCATTGTCACGCGCGCTGACTTTCTGAAAAGCCCTGCATGGATTAAGGTGCGTGAACCCAGACGGTCTCTATTAAGCAGGAGCGCTATTGTTGTTGTTTGTATTGTCATGTTGCAGTATTTTACTTAATAATTTAATAAAAAAAAAAATTTTTTTATATGCTCTGTTGGTGGGGTAGCATCACCCGCGGAGATTTTTTTTTTTTTATCCCCTCCGGATAGATATACATATATATATATATATATATGTAACACAAAAATGAATAAAAATGCAAAAAACAAATTTACTTTAAAGCAAAACTTACTTTACTAAAACAAAACTTAAAACAGAAAATATAAAAATTAAATCTGAATCAAATTAACAAATACCATAATAGCATATCGGTGATACTACAATAACACTGATTCAAACAGTATAGCAGGTTTCAAAAATTAACAGTTATTCATACGTTCTACTGTACATTTTAACATTTTGATGATTAATTTACTAAATACCTTACAAAAATAAATTATTACCTTTATTTTATTTGATTCGTAATCTTGGCCATCTTATTGCTTTTTGGCCACAATGTAAAAATAATAATCATATTGCATCACTATCGAAAACAGCACGATAATCACATGTGTTAATGACACAAACGGCGTAGTATATTCATGTACAGACCTGCAATGTGACTGTACGTGTCTCTGTTGTGCACTCTGGAGGGAAAATAAGTTTGATCCCCGGGTCGAATTGAGACACCAGCAGCGCCCCCTCTGGAGACACACAGCAACTGTCCAGGAAAGGACGAGAGACGGCCACAAACCACGAGAACTGAGACACACTGCAGCAGGCCAACTGCAAACACACAGATGATAATATATATGTGTGCATTCATGCTCTCAGGACGCTTTACAGGTTTTGGACTGAGAGGGATCTGATTCGCTCACCCGCGCTGGGCGTCCCCCTGGCCTGCAGCTGTGTTTCTCACTTCCCCTCATGGTCAGGGTGGGTAGTGTCGACCAAGACCGACCATCAAACCTGCGAACCGCAACATCACCTTTCCGTGTTTTGTGATATGGAATACACACCTCTACTGGCTAAAAGAGTGACACAGAGAAAAATTATTGTAGCTTTTATTTAAAATATAGATATATAAATTAGTGCTGTCAAACGATTAATCGCGATTAATCGCATCCAAAATAAATAAACGTTTTTGTTTACATAATATATGTGTGCGTACTGTGATTATTTATTATGTATATATAAATACACACACATGCATGTATATATTTAAGAAAAACATGCTCTTTATATTTTAAATATATGTACATATAATATAAATTGAATATAAATATATACACATGTAAATATTTTCAAAATATATATTGTATATGTGTGTATTTATATATACATAATGCTGTTTGAGTGTCAGCTTTCAGAAACTGTGTGACTACAAGTAAAGATTTTGTATGTAAGCAGTTGAAAAAAACCCCCTGTAATTATTAAATAATACATTAACCATCCACTAAACAGCCACACGGGGGTGCTATTATCTCCCCACTTATGTTTGTCAAACGATTAATCGTGATTAACCACATCCAAAATAAAAGTTTTTGTTTACATAATATGTGTGTGTACTGTGTATATTTATTATGTATATATAAATACACACACATGCATGTATATATTTAAGAAAAACATGCTGTTTATATTTTAAATATATGTACATATAATATAAATTATATGAATATAAATATATACACATGTAAATATTTTCAAAATATATATTGTATATGTGTGTATTTATATATACATAATAAATGTACACAGTACACACACATATATTATGTGAACGAAAACTTTTATTTTGAATGCGATTAATCGCGATTAATCGTTTGACAGCACTAATATAATTATATATTTATTTTATTTTATTATTTATGCATTATAAAAATAGAGCTTTTACTCTAAGCCCCCCCCACACTTAAAAATAATTATAATTATTATACTTTATTAATATTCATATATTTAATCAATAATATATTTATATAATTACAAAAATAGAGCTTTTTTCACTCTAAACATTATATTTTTTACAATTTGATTAATATTCATATATTATTAGTATTCATTATAATTCTTGATTTATTCTATATTTATAATTTTTCCATATATTATTAATTATAATAATACTGTATTTTGGTCATTTATAGTTATTATTAGTTATATTTATATATTAAACAGGAGCTTTCGTTCACTCTAAAATTATTATAATTATTAAATTATTCATATTAATATATTTATTCATTAATTTATTTTAATTTTTTAACATTATTATCATATTACTGTAATTTATTAATTTATAGTTATGAACTGTATCATTTATACAATATAAAACAGGAGCTTTCTTTCACTTTAAGTGTTTATATTTATATAAGTATAAACAAAAACAACAACCTCCTCAAATGTGGCTCCGTGTGGGCGGAGCTCCAGCTGTCGACTCAAAAGGACGTCATGCTCCTCTAGCCACACCCACTTTCTGTCTGGTCTCCTCTCCGCCCACTGGAGTTGTGTGACTGCCTTTACGCATCTCCGTGGAAACAAGAGCTCCGCCCCTCCAGGAATGAACACGTGACAACCAGCAGATGATACTTCAAAACTGATGGGCAGAGAAGAGTTACATTTGGAACTAGCATTACAGAATGTATAGGGCATAGATATTTTTTTAAAATAATTAATACTTTTATTCAGCAAAGATGCATTAAATTGAAAAAGAATCCTGAAAAAAAGCATCAAGGTTTACAGAAAAATATGAACGAGCACAACTGTTTTCAACAATGATAATAATCAGAAATATTTCTCGAGCAGCAAATCAGCATATTAGAATGATTTCTGAAGATCATGTGAGACTGAAGACTGGAGTAATGATGCTGAACATTCAGCTTTGCGTCACAGGAATAAATTACATTTTAAAATATATTAAAATATAAAACAGTTATTTTAAAATGTAATAATATTTCACTATATTAGTGTTTTTGCTGTATTTCTAGCAAATAAATGCACCCTAGGGTGAGCATATAACATGTATTTCAAGAGCATTAAAACCGCCCCCGAAACTTTTGAATGGTAAATGAAGGTGGGCTCAGTTCACCTGTGTTGACCAAATCCGAGGTGCAGCTCTGGGATCTCAGATTCTTCCAGAACTATAAAGCACAAACACTGTCTTTGAGATCATACAGGCTTAGTTTGTTCAGGTTTCATCCACCAATGCAAAAATAAAATCTCATCCAGAATACATCATGTAATAAAAGATCCTAAAAAAATCATATTTGTTTGATAAAAATGTCATTATAATAATGCAACGCAAACTAGACTAAAGCAGCAGCACCTGGGGTCACGTGGGCGATCAGTGGGGGCGTCGGCGGTCGGCCCAGCGGGTTGTTCCTCGTGTCTAGTTTGTCGAGCAGCGGGAGGGAGCGCAAACATTCTGGAACAGTCCTCAGATCATTACTCTGGATTACTAGCTGCCTCAGAGAGCGGAGAGACCCTGACAGAGAGAATTAGCCATCAGACAGTTAAACTTACAAAAGACAATGTCACAAATACTAGACTTTCCTTTCAAAAGCTGAAACCTCATTTAGAAATAGTTGTTTCTACTGTAGATTGCATAGTATAAAACTATTTTCTGACACAAAGATAGCATCATGTAAGGCAGTAGACAGTCCTTTGGTGTTGTTTGGGACTCATCAGGACACATTTGCGTTTACTCTACAAATGTAAAAGTGTTTGAGTGGTTTATGTGTGTTTATTTAGCTATAGCTTGAGGATAAAATTGTCTAACTAAATCTGCCAAAACCTCCCTTTGCAGACATCTAGAGACATCCTCATTTGGAAAAACAATTTATACTGTACATAAAATAAATAATATTCTGTTTTATTCTAAGTACCTAAAATCTTGAATTTATCTTTTTGTAAATAAATTATTTTTATCTTTTTTTTTTTTTTATCCCTTATCTACCTTGTTTATTAATAAATATAAAATTCATTATTAAATATTATTAAACGTTATTATCAAATATGTTTATTAATTAATTTATTTATTTATTTGTAAGATTTTTACCATTTTCGCCATGCAAAAAAGCCTTAGATGCAAATAAATATTAAATACTATTAAAATTATTATCAAATGTATATTTACCTTTTTTTTTTAAATATTTTTACTGTTCTTGCCATGAAAATAGCCTTAGATGCTATTAAATACTATTAAAAACGATTAACAAATATGTTTATTAATTTATTCACCTATTTTTTAAGAGCTTTTTTACCATTCTTGCCATGAAAATAGCCTTAGATGTTAACATGGCATAAAACAACTAGGTAAACAAATTATTCTAATTTTCTGTATTATTGTGCTTTTCTTATTTCCTCATTTAACGCGACAGACAAAAGTGTGTGTGTGGTCCAGGTAAATTCTATGTTGTAGAGACCAAATGTGACCACAAGGATAGTAACATTTTGATGTTTTTTTTTGGAAAATGTCAAAATGCAGAACGTTTGCTCTGAGGGTTGTGTTCAGGGGTAGGGTTAGGGGACAGAAAATACAGTCTGTCCAGTATAAAAATTATTATATATATATATAGAAAATAGCCTTAGATGTTAACATGGCATAAAACAACTAGGTAAACAAATTATTCTAATTTTCTGTATTATTGTGCTTTTCTTATTTCCTCATTTAACGCGACAGACAAAAGTGTGTGTGTGGTCCAGGTAAATTCTATGTTGTAGAGACCAAATGTGACCACAAGGATAGTAACATTTTGATGTTTTTTTTTGGAAAATGTCAAAATGCAGAACGTTTGCTCTGAGGGTTGTGTTCAGGGGTAGGGTTAGGGGACAGAAAATACAGTCTGTCCAGTATAAAAATTATTATATATATATATATATATATATATGGAAAGTCCCCATAAAACATGTGTGTGTGTGTGTGTGTGTGTGTTTGTGTTTTTCACCCAGAGTCTCCGGCAGCGCTCTGAGCCTGTTATTTGACAGCTCCAGTTTTTGTAAGTCCTGTAGTTGGCCGAGTTCTTCTGGAAGTCTCTCCAGCTGGTTGAAGGACACATCCAGCTCCTCCAGCCTGCAGAGGAGGCCCACTCCCCGGGGCAGATCCTCCAGCCTGTTCCCCAGCAGACTCACCCGCCGCAGGGACACCAGCGCTCCCAGACCCTCCGGCAGACCCGTCAGCTGGTTATGACACAGCAGCAGCTCAGAGAGATGAGAGAGAGACAGGAGACAGGGAGGAAGAAAGGACAGACAGTTGAATGAGAGATCCAGGTGAACGAGGAGAGACAGAGAGGAGACGGAGTCAGGGAGAGAGGAGAGGAGGCCGGGGAGAGGGTCACCCTGAGGGTCATAGAAACGATGTCCTTGAGACAGAAACATAATAGAGAGAGAATATAAACACATGAAAAACGTTAGACAGATAGACCAAAAACATGATAGACTGACCGATAGACAGACGGATGAATATATAAGCACAAAGACAGATGGATGGATGGATGGATAGATAGATAGATGGATAGATGGATAGATAGATAGATAGATAGATGGATAGATGGATGGATGGATGGATGGATGGATGCATAGATAGATAGATAGATAGATAGATAGATAGATAGATAGATAGATAGATAGATGGATAGATGGATGGATGGATGGATGGATGGATGGATGGATGGATGGATGGATGGATGGATGGATGGATGGATGGATGGATGGATGGATGGATGGATGGATGGATGGATGGATGGATGGATGGATGGATGGATGGATGGATGGATGGATGGATGGATGGATGGATGGATGGATGGATGGATGGATGGATGGATGGATGGATGGATGGATGGATGGATGGATGGATAGATAGATAGATAGATAGATGTGTGTGTTTGTGTACCTCTGATAGCCAGAGAGCGCAGTTGTGTGAGTCGGGGCAGGACACTCAGTGCCTTCTCTAGCGCCCCCTCGTCCTCTGATCCCAGTCTGAGGTACTGCAGGCCTCTCATCCGTTCCTGAACACACTCCCAGAACACAGGGAGAACCTCTCCACCGCCCCGATACACGTCCAGAACCAGCCGGCCCTCTGCCAGCACGCCATCCAGCCCCACCGACGGAGGAAGAGGAGGAGAGAGACAGGGCAGAGAGGAGGAAGAGGACGATAAGATGGACAGAGCCCAGGTATCCGTATGGTCCGAGGAAAGAGAGAATCCTAATGGTGGACTTTCCTCCAACTGCAAGTTCCCAAAGAAACCTGGTAAAACCAGACCCACTTCCGTCCCCATCTTCGCTCCTCTTTCAGCTGAAAAACCATCAATATGTCCTCCTCCTTCTCTTTCTCCAAGATTTGTGGCCAGCCACACTTTCTCCTCTGCCTGTTCATCCTCTTCTCTCTCCATCTATTCCCTTTTTTCTTTTCTTTAGCCCCTCCTACAAACAACATATAGTGAGAAAAATGAAGGAGAGATGAATCTGGCACCTCCGTCTTCATCTTTCCATCACCGCGGTGGGGTCACATCTCTAGACTGGGCAGCTATGTTCAGACAAGCCCCTGCACTGGAGAGACAAAACATCAGTCAGAGAGAAAGAAAGGCGTTAATTGGAAACACTCAGAATCAATAAAACCGTAACAATGAACTGCACAGTGAGAAAAACTCAAGATCAGCACCTGAGCATCACCACTACTGAGAAATAATAAATAAGTTTTGTCAATGCATAATTACCTTTTCAAAATCTATTAATTAATATTAAAAGTAATTATTAAATCATATATATATATATATATATATATGAATTATAATAATTATTCAAATAAATATTAAATACGAATTAAATATAACTAAATATATATATATATATAAATAATTATAATTAAATATATTTATATAAATATATATCATATAAAAAAATCTGAATTAAATATAACTAAATATAACTAATAAATATATTTATTTATATTAATATATATAATATAAAAATCATTATTTCTAATATTTCTAACATCTAATATTTCTAATAAAATATATATCTAATATTTCTGATAAAATAAAGCGAACACATTGCTGATGTTTAAATGCTATCTACATAAACAGTGTGTATGTATATGTAAGAGTGTGTGTACATGTGTACATAATTAAATGACCTTTAAATGATTATTGCATATTTAATTTCAGTGTATACATTATTATTATCCATCTTACTGTCATTTTACTGCATTTACTAACTTTAGTTTTTTGTCAAATTTTAATTTATCACTTAGTGACAGTGGTGGGTATTACCATCTTATTGTATTTAGTAACAATAACTGCATTATCTGCGCTGCTTTAGAGGTAACTATATTTATAAATCACTGTAAAGGCACCATACTCATTCATTCCGTTGTGGCTAAAACTAAATCACAGCTGAACTCAAGTGTGTAACAACATTTACGAGTGCTGGGAAAAGACCTCACTGAACCTCTATACAGAATAATAAGTTATATCTCATTTTAACAAGTAACAAACTGACTGAATGAAAAACACTTACACTGCTGGCGTCTGTCGTTTAAAACGATACACGGTCTCGCGATTTCTGTTAAACTAACATGTATAGAACCAAAATGTCACCTTTATTTGATGCGTTTACATGTGTTAAATATGATAAGTGTACTTCCGTGTTTCTCGCACATGTCTCGTGTTGACACTCACCGCGGAACTTTGAGCAAAAGGCGGGAGGAGATTTCTTAAAGACACAGTGACAGCAAAGAAGTACGCTTCAAATGCGAGTTAAAGGGGTCATATGATGCTCATATTTTGTGTATTTGGTGTAACAGAATATGTTGGCATGCTTAATGTTCAAAACATTATTTTTCAAACTTCAGGGATCTTATCTATGCACAATCAGCTTGTAACACTCCAAAGAGAAAGGAAAACTTGAAATCGCATCATATGACCCCTTTAATCCAATATAATATAATATATAAATATTATATATAATTCTTTTGTGAATTTTTTTTTTTTAAAAATTATGTCATTACATTGGTTGGAGCATAAGAAACAAATTGATAATTTTTTATTTTTTGAATCTATAAAATGCATTGCTGTTCTGTTGTAAGTGATCTTAAAGATTCCTAAATGCATCTACTTTCGGAAGGCCAAATAAAGTGCTTTTGCTTTCGCACTGAAACACACAGCGTCTCCCTGACATGCTGCTTCAACACTAACTGCGGTTACTGAAACCACGCCTTCTTTCTTTGCGTGCACATTTGGGCGGCATTATGCTAATATTTCCACATAGTGAGGTAGATATGTGGGGGCGTGTTAGAACGAGCCGTTTTAGGGGGGCATGGCAGAGTCTTAACTTTCATAAAGAATATCTCTTTGGTTTTGAGACTTTAGTCTTTGCAACTTCAGGGATCTTATCTATGCACAATCAGCTTGTAACACTCCAAAGAGAAAGGAAAACTTGAAATCGCATCATATGACCCCTTTAATCTAATATAATATAATATATAAATATTATATATAATTCTTTTGTGAATTTAAAAAAAAAAAAAATTATGTCATTACATTGGTTGGAGCATAAGAAACAAATTGATAATTTTTTATTTTTTGAAAAATATATTTTATTCATATTTTATTCTTTTATCTTAGACACCAGGACCAAGTTATTTAAAAAAAATAAAATAGACATGAAAAGGCATGTATAAGCAAAAACAGTGATTTTATTTTCATTATTTCTATTTTTTCAATCACCAATCAGTTTTTGGGTTTCAGGCTATTTTTAGCCAAACTTTGTACAAAGATGATTCTCAACTAAGTTAAGAAAGATATAACAGAATTATTTGATATACTATTTTACTTTATGGAATATGTGTGTAAAGTGTCTATAAATTGGTATTCCCATTCTACACAATCTATACATTGCATCTAATTTGCATATTAATGTGTTCTTGGGGCAAGCCATATTGAAAAAGAAGTGTAATAACGGGAGTAATAACTTGGCAACATTTTCATAAGAATATATCATATTTCATATTTCTTTCCCTATTGACTTGTTGTGTTTCTCCAAAATGCCTGATTAACAGCCGTTTGTCCTGGTGTCCTCTACTGAAGACATGTATGAAAATTATGCCCTGTTTCGTAACAAAAACTCATATTCCGAACTGAAACCCCATAACATTTTTCTGAGATGTCAATTTACGACAAACTATTTGAAAATTAGCCAGATTTAAATGATAATTACAAAATATTAACATTTCCGTAAGAGTGCTAAATTTGATCATTCTGTCAATATCAGTCATATTTAAAGACCAAGGAGAAGATGTGCTTATCATCAAACCTCATTTAATATCTCTAAAAAGCCCTGAATGTGCTCTGGACAAAACATTCAGACTTAAAACTGTGGCATGTAGGGTCTCAGAGAAATTCACTAAAATATATAATGTCCTCTACAGAGGACAAATGTCTATGCCTGAGTCCCAGTAATATATAATATAATATAATATAATATAATATAATATAATATAATATAATATAATATAATATAATATAATATAATATAATAGACTTACTTACGGTATCTAATAGTCTGATTGTGGATGAGAGAATCATATGAAGCATTATTTTATGAGTGTCTTCCTCAGTCTGCTGTTGCAGTGTTTTTATGCATGTCTCAACATGTTCTGCTCCACCACCTGCTGAAGTGTGTGATTGGTTTATCCCACCAGGAATAAGGGGAGAATCCAGGATAAATTCCCCTCTCATGAGGTGAAGGACAAAAGTGAGGGATGATATCTATTTTGATGGGGAAATTATGAATGGGGTGTGCCTGACAAAATATATAAATGTATTACATTTACATTGAATAAAATAAAATAGAAAAAAATGTAACTTATTTTTTTCATAGAGTTGCCAAAGCAATGTTTCTTGTTTACATTTACTTTAACTTGATGTATTAAAATAACTAAAAAAAGAAAGAAAAATGTATAAAAACTATAGACACATTAAAAAAAAACAACTAATGACAAATTAAAATATAAGAGTAAAAACTAATTCAAAATATTTACAATAACTATACAAGTATCTCAGTGAAACTAAAATAACACTGAGACCAAGGTACTTGTTGTGCATATGAATACATCACTCACTCAATATCATGGTATACCAGTTTCATCTTGTCTGTGTCCATCTATATTTAGTATCTATGTCAAAGATGCAATGACACAACATCCACCTGTTGCTTATTGTCAATGTGCGATCACTGACTGCTCTCTTTCTGGTCCTGTGACAGGAGAGGCGGGTGCCGGCATCATTGATGTGGCTAAAGAAGCCCGAAAGCGCTTCCTGGGCCCCATGCACCCCTCCTTCAACCTGGTGAAGATCATGCGGACCATACTGTATCACGTGCTGCCGCCCGACGGCTACAGCCGGGCAACAGCTTAAACACACACACAACACACATATTCATTAAAGCCATAAACGCAAACTAAAGTATGCAGTAGGTTTAGTGAGAATCAACTTGCATGACCTCCTAATACCCAGCTGTAAACAATCATGCATTCATGATGTTTACAGTAAATGCACGTGATTTAGATCACATCATTATGGTTTCATGTCCAAATCCCTTGTGTGTGTGTGTGTGTGTGTGTGTGTGTACAGGCGTGTATATGCAGCACTTACATTCCCGTGTACTGTGGCCTGATCCCTCCAACCCTGCAGGGAGTGGGAAGTATCCAGTCACCATATAGTTACTCATAATTCATTTACAACTGCAATATGATCATTCCCTCTGTGCTCACTTTCATTTTTGCAGTCGTCGTGTGCTTGTTACAAATCTCACCAAATTTGCACTACTGCCAGGGGCGGATTGGCCATCTGGCAATTCTGGCAAATGCCAGAGAGGCCGGACCATTTTGTTCAATGTGGGCCGGTCAGATTTTTTCTAAATATATATAAAATAGTTTTTACTGGCCAACAGCGCGTAGGACGGGTTTTTATCGCTTGCACCATTTCTCTATGGTTATAATAATAATAATAATGTTAATAATAAATAAATGTTAAGCATTTGGCCTAGTCGGCCACGGCCGGCCGCCTGGTCCTGAGATGGGCCGACAGAACTGTTCAGTCAAAATCAAGCACGTCATCAGAGAGATTGCAACACTAGCTGATTTTCAGTAAAAGCTAGATAATGGACCGTAAAAAAAGAAAGGTGGTGCAGACAAACTTTGAGAAAGGAAAAAAAAAGTAGTTTCACACTACTTCTGCCAGTTAGCTCCTGTGTTTGTTTTTTTGACAGTAGCCTACATTGTATTAAACAGTTGTAAGCTTAGCATAGAACCCCAGAATATTTTTAAATGTCATTGCTTCGTGATAATTGGTTAATTTAAGTGTTAACGAGCCTGTTACTGAATTGCATCAGCAGATAAAGTGGGATTTAGGGTAAAAACTGATGTAAGCTACTTGCAATATAGTCTAACACATCAGAAAACCTATAGCAATAGCCATAGTACTGTAGACATTTGTAGTGAACTTTACTTTGAATATGTAGATAGTCATATATTAAAATAAAACATTGAGCACGCATACAGTACATACGTTTACAGTATGCAATTAATCCTTAGGTATATGGACTGCAGAGTCAAGTGTCATGGAGGTAGGAAAACACAACGAGAGAGACACCCTGATACAGATGCTGCCAGTTTCTTAATAATGTGGATCTAATTAACTATTAATTAACTCTTAGGATAGGAGGAACCTGTGCCTGTGTCACACACACACACACACACACACACACATAGAGAGAGACAGAGAGATCACACTCACACACACACACACACACACACACACACACACAGAGAGAGAGAGAGAGAGAGAGAGAGA